GGCTACGCGGATGCTGCTCAGGTACTTTATATCTATGAATTTGAGAATAGAGTTTAGGCACTCCTTATGTAAGATTTTGGAGTACTAATGGTTATTACCTTTTTACTTTCCTTATCTGGTGGTTAAACTTACGCTCTTGATGTTCTCATCTAAATTTAATCTTGCAGGAACCTGAATTATTCACAACTGCACCTGCTCTAGCAATTCCCAAAGCTATCAAAAGTGCTAGCTTAGAGGCTTCTCAAATTGATTACTATGAAATAAATGAAGCCTTTGCTGTATGCGCTCTTACCTACTTCTTTTGAACTAGCCTGTTTCATATGTGTGAGCACCCTCCTTAACAGACCTTGCTTGCAGGTGGTATCTCTTGCAAATCAAAAGCTGCTTGGTCTTAATCCAGTGAGTGCTCTATCTATCCTATATGCTTATTAATCTTGAGCTACAAAATTTGTTAATCTCTTTAACTTTGACACTCTCAGTCGGGATATATTAACTAAAGAAAACTATTTTGGCTTATATGCTTTGATATGAAAATGGAACAAGGACAAGATCACATTAAGTCGTAACTTACTTGGTCTGCGGTACTTTTATAGTGTGGAACAAGCACAGAATGATCCTGACAATGAACTGATGAAGTAACCTTTTGCTTGTTCACTCAGGAAAAAGTTAATGTACACGGTGGGGCTGTATCTTTGGGGCATCCTCTTGGATGCAGTGGAGCTCGTATATTGGTTACACTTCTCGGGGTACGTGCAACATTTGGGGTTTTAAATTCAACGATTGTAACTTCTAATGTCCTAATATGATCTTGTCTTGTGTTCATGAATATTGAGAATCTATTGTCCTTTGATGTTTGTTTCATATCTATTTTCCCAATGCAATGTTTGCAGGTGTTGAGACAGAAAAATGGCAAATATGGAGCTGCTGGTGTTTGCAATGGAGGAGGAGGTGCCTCAGCCCTTGTCCTAGAGCTTGTGTAATCCTTTTTTGTTTTTGGTAAGTCTGAAGATTGGAAACTCATTTGAGAATTTAGTCTACCAATGTGATATTGCATGTATGCAGTCCTTGCATTTACTCGTATGGAATTCAGAGGTGCTCTTGATAGATCATTTCACTGGACAACAAAGGTAAATCACAATTGGAAATAGTATGCAAGGGTTGTTCAATGAGATGACCACAAAAGATGATAATTCCATTAAAATCTCGTTTTGGACTGTATCCTTCATCCTAGTGTTGTATAAGCTCATATGATTCATCAACTGGTATTTCCCCACACCAGTAGTGGACCTGTTCATGTGTTAACATAACAGTGTACATTTCTTTACTTGACGTATTAGATGGACCAAAGTTGAAGTTCTTTCAGCTGCATTCAGATCATTTCTGGTTACCTTAGTTTATATATTTGCTTTTGTTTTGCAGGTTAGTGTTTCAGACTATTTATGATAGACGGTGCTTGCAACAGATTAGATCTGGCGCCCGTCTTCAACCAGAGCTGACTCTGCAACTTCGTTTTCTTTGTCTTCTTTCCTTTGTAATGTTAATTTAAGAAGTTGTATTCTTCAAAAATAAATGAAAGCTGGTCAGGTTCTTCACGAAGTAAATGACAGATCTACCTCCCCTCCCCGATTTCAACATTTTTCGTTGGAATTTCTTCGAGCACTTCACTATTTTCATGTGTCCAGAAGGCATAGGAGATTGAGTTAGTAACTTTGAGATACTTCCCAGTGCACATTAGAAAGGTAGAAAGGTAGCGGTTGTAGGTTTTCCTGGATGTTCCGAATAAATAAATAAAAACACTTCAGAGATCACTTATTCTGTCAACCACTATTTCGCTGCAAACATTGGTTAAGTGAAGTTGGTTAAGCTAATATAGCCTTGTGTACTAAATCCACTTCAAATGGACAAACCCAATCTAGTCCTCATTTGTTTCCTAAACCATTCTAGACTTCTCCTTGGTCATAGACTCATAGGAAATGAAAAGGATTTTAGAAAATATGTCACGTGGAAAGTTTAGAATTTAAAAGTTTTTAAAAACGCAAAGAGATTTTTTTTCTTGAAACAGGCTAAAAAGAAAAGTAAGACAAATAAATTAAAGTGGATATGATAGTTAGCTAAGATTTTGAATTTGAATATGTTGTGCACTTCTACTCATATAATTGAGCAAAGTTTATCAATTATCAAACCAATGTAAGGGTCATTATTTACTTGTTAACTTTGGGACGTACTAATACATACGTGTTCATAATTAACCACTGTGTGGTCAGAAAGTTGAATCTAACATCTTGCAAACTGAGTATTTTTTACTTTCGACTTGACACATTTTTTTAAGAAACAATAAATAAAATGACAATTTTATTACTATATCAATCTTTGAATACAATTTAATGTTTTGAAAAATGACTATAGTTGATAATAAGTGTAAATTAGAAACTAAGTGATAAATTATCTCTTAATTCTTCAAACTGAATAAGTAAAACATTGGCATGTATTTCTAGTATAGTGAGCAAGTAAAAGTGGACGGAGCAACAAATATATTTGCTTTTTTCAAGACATTTGTTAATGATTTACGAGGAGTCGGAATTTTCATTAAAGAGACTCAAATATGAACAAACATCTACTAACTACTATATATACATAAAAGATAATTTTAACCATATACAAATAATATAATTTTTCATCAATTAAAAAAAAATTCGAATGAACCCACTCAAATCTACCTAGCTCCGCCCCTCCAACAAGGCCTTAAAGAACTTATTTCAATGTTCAAATAAACAATATTGTAACGACCCTTTGTACACTATTTTGGAATTATCGATGAAAATAGCGGCTAGTGTATAGAAGCATAGGAATAAAAACCATAATTTTAGCCAGCTAAGTATGAGATGTCCATAGAAAAACACAAGCATCATCATATATATAGTGTATGACACAGAATTACAGATTTAAATAACAAATTTCTATGTCATTGTTTTTTGAAGTAATAAATCAAAGTGTTAAATTACTCCAAGAAAGTGGTAACAAAAAACAAGAGGATCCAGTTGTAAAGAGATCAATTAATTCCATAAAACTATTATGGCCTATGATCAACTTGTACTATATATATTTTGAGCCACACTATAATCACTAGCTTGGCCTCAACTATTGTTTTCCAGCTATGCAATCTTTCTGGGGGTTTCCAACACAAATTTTTAGTTTTGTACCATCGACTGAGTTTTAAAGTAACGGTAAAATTATTTTGTATATTCATGAGTGATGAATTCAAACTACAAAATTAACTAGTGATGTACTATGTGTTAAGAGTAACTACCTATATTATACTCTTTTGAAGTGGAATCCTTTCATGAACTCTGTATAAACACATATATTTCATATATTGGACTATCCTGCTTTTTTTCTGGAAATTTTAGAGAAATCCACAGTCACTAATCTTCAGACGCGCACAAAGTAAATTTGCTTCTATGCAATAGTTCATAAATCAGACGAATTACCTTTTTTTAAACCATGCTAATATATAATATCCTTCGCATGTCTCTAATTATTGTTAAAGAATGACAAAAGTCTCACATCGGTGGTTAATGAGATGTGTGGACTCCTTATAAGGGTTGGACAATCCTCCTCCCTTTGAGCTAACTTTTGGGATGTGAGTTAGGCCTAAGACCTAATTTAATATGGTATCAGAGTAGGGCCCGTCTCACCCGATGTTGAGGCCCCCAAAATCAAAATTGTCCACGCATCATATGCTAAGCATTGGGGGTGAGGTGGGGTGTTAAAGAATGACAAAAGTCTCACATCGGTGGTTAATGAGATGTGTGGACTCCTTATAAGGGTTGGACAATCCTCCTCCCTTTGAGCTAACTTTTGGGATGTGAGTTAGGCCTAAGACCTAATTTAACAATTACCTTATATGCGCAAGGAAGTTGATCGCAATCACACAATGTCTTTTTTTTTCTTTCTAATAATCATTTGATATTTGAAATTATTTATTGAGTCAACTAATCCAAATTCTATCGCATACAAGTAACATGTGATTTCTATTAACTTTTTTTTTTTTTTTTTTTTAAATTTATGTGACTCGAACTCGTTACCTAAAATCTTACGTGTTGTTACTTAGTTGGAGAAGACTCTAGCTATACTTTTTGCCACAATACCATTCATATTATTGGTTTTCATTATCTCATAATTTAATTTTGAAATGCATGTAATTAAGTGGAAAGAACTTAAATAAGTACGAGATTGTTGCAAAATAGTACTTTTTAAACAAGTATTACACATATATATAGTCTTAACACATATTATTTATGAATTATGTCAATTTAAGATAAGTGAAGTTTGCTTTATTGTTGGAGCACCTCCACTACTAATAGATTAATTAAGGTTTGAGTCACCAAACCAATAAATAAATACATAAAATATCATGTAATCTAATATGGAAAGAATGAACATACGCAAAACTTATTCTTATTTTTGTGGGTATATAAAAACACTATTCATCTTGTTATGAATGGTCGTTACAATATACTCCAACCGTTTAAAAAAGAATGACCTTTTTTTTTGTTAGTCTATTTAAAAAGAATGACTTCTTTTCTTTTTTGGTAACATTTAAATTTTAGCTTTCCACGTGGCATGTTTAAAGCCACAAGATTGAAGAGCAATTTAGTACATTTGACATAACTTTAATTTAGGACCACAAGATTCAAAAGTCTTTTTTATTTTTTAAAATTTCGTGTCAAATCAAATCAGGTCACTATTTATGAAACGGAGGGAGTAATAAAATTTAATCCACAACAGAATAAACATAAGTACAAGTTGTTAGAATGAGAAACGTTTGTGTCAAATTCTTTGATTTAAATTTGATTATGACAGAAAAAAATAAAATAAAATAGAAAAAAAAAACCTGAATGTGGGCCCACACTGAAAACAATGGGCCCACAGTGAAGCCAGCTGTACCTCTATCTATCTACCTTTCTCGTCTCTTTCCCTTTTCATATTCTTCTTCCTTCTATCATTTCCGTTTCTATTTGCAGAGACAGAAAGAAGAAAAAGGAGAGAATTTCTCTTTCCTTTTTTTATTTATACACCAAAAAAGAAAACCACAATAGAAAAAAATCAAGAATCCCCAAAAGGGTCATAAACTATTTTGTTTTTCGAAAGATTTTTCTCTCTGTTTCTGTCTAAAAGAATTCATGGCGGTAAGATTCTTATTTTGTTTCTCTCCTTTAAATCTTCTTCTTTGGTTGTTTTGTTTCAGAGAAAAATACCCTTTTTTGAAGACTCAATTTTGAGCTTTTTTTTTTTTTGTTCGTCTGCTTTGAGCCCTGCAAAAAGATTATTTTTTTTTGGTGGGGGTGGTGGGATGGGTCAGAAAAGGAAAAAGAAATAGAGTAGTTCTTGATTATTTTGATTTTTGGGTGATTTATGTTTTTTTTGGTATAATTTTCTTAAGGTTTCTATGTATTTTATGTCTGTTATTCATGTTGAGGAAAGAAAGTAGCCATTTCCAAGGTGATTTTTTTTTTGTGTGTGGGGTGTGGGGGTGTGGGGGTGAGGATGGAGGGGTGATAGGGTTATTCCTTGGAACCCCATGTTCTTTATATTTGAAAGATTAAATTTTTGTTTTTCTGAAAGTTAAATTCTTGAAACCAAAAATGGAGTAGAAATTCAAATGGTATTATCTTAGGGATTGGAGGTGTACCTTTTATGCCTTATTTGTTTTGGGGTTTTTAAAGGAGGAGACTAGTTAATTGTGTTTTAGAATTTTAGTATATAGACAGTTAAAGAAAACCCCTTTTGTTATTGTGTGTGTATTAAATTTTTGTTTTCTTAAAAGTTAATTCTTGAAACTAATAATAGAGTGGAAGCCAAATGGTACTATCTTAGGGATTAGAGGTGTTTTTTTCGTGTGTATATGTGTTTTGGGGGGGTCTTGAAACCTCTTGTCCTTTATATTTGGTTTTCTAAAAGTTAAATGCTTGAAACTGATAATAGACTAGAAACTCAAATGGTATGATCTTAGGGATTAGAGGTGTACATGTTCAGCATTAATGTTATCTTCCTATTTGGTTGTTATAGTTTCCTAGCAATCCTTCTTTGATAATATTCCTTTTGAGTCTAGGGTCTATTGGAAACAACCTCTCTACCCCACAAAGGTAGGGTTCGGTCTCTGTACATCTTATTCTCCACAGACCTCACTTGTGGTATTACATTGAGTTTCTAGTTTTTTTTTTGTTTAGAGTATAAAACAATATGCTACTACATTTTGCATTTATTCACATGCGAATGGTAACTTTCACCTGTTTGCTTCTATGAATTTATTTATATCGTTTTGATATAAGCCTATTCCTGCAGTAATTACTTTAGCAAGCTAAGGTGCCATCTGCTGTCAAAATTGATTTTGGTCCATTCTTAGTTCCCCTCACCTGAATACATTTGTCTATTTTGAATAGCAAACGAAAACCATGAGAAAATTATGCAACATACCCAATTCTTTTGTAATGGTAGACCAAGTTGTACCGAAACTCATGTTCTGGTTCAGATTCCTAGTTCTTTTTTTTAGGGGTGGGGGAAATTGGAAGATTTGTGTTAAACAGATCTTTATGTGCCTTTTGTATCCCCTTTCCAGTGGTCTTTCGTGCACTTGAGCACCTTATGTTCTTGCATCTTTTTACTACTCGACTTACTTTGTAAAACTGAAGCATTTGTTTAGGACAAGCCATATCTTAATTTTTCCCTTTTTAACAGTAAAATACCATTTCGTGATCCTAAATTAATGTGTTTATCCATTTTCCAATGTTTGATATGCATTTGTATCTTTCCTGCACAAGTAATTTGCCTCCTGTTACATTTGAATATCTTAAACAATCAGAATTTAGCCCACTGAGTTTATTTTTATGGGAGGGAGTTTTTTTTGCTATGATGTGATAGTTATTGTTAATCTACAGGAAAAAGGCCAGCCGCTTCCTAAGTTCGGCGAGTGGGATGTCAATGACCCATCGTCAGCTGAGGGATTCACAGTGATCTTTAATAAAGCTCGAAATGAGAAGAAGACAGGTGGCAAGGTAGACTCACCACCAAAGGGTGACTCTGCATACAAAAATAAATCAATGCTTGGAAAACCTCAATCAGTAAGTCGTGGCCCACATAATGGCTGTTAGTTCTGTTACTACTTACTTGTATCATGCAGATTGTCATTTCTGTCTTGGATTTGATAGTTTGAGGAAAAAGGTACATGAAGCTTGTAAATGTACTAATTACATTGGTCTAAAATGTTATTTGAACCGGTGTTCTAACCTCTTCTCCCATAAGTAACTTCTAAAATCAAGAACATCTGTAGTAAAACATCAAATATCATTTCCCAAAACAATAATAGATACTCCATCTGTTGTAATTTATGGGACAATGATCTGCTTTCCTTTTAGTGTGTCCAAATAGGGGTGGAGCCACCTTGTGGTCGGGGTTTGGAATCCCATGCAGCAGAAAATTATACTATTTACACCTGGTTAAAGTAATTTTATATGTATGTATAGTAGATGTCAAACCCCCTTCTACTAGTTCGTGTGTCTACTTCTTCAGATTTCTAACCCCCTTTATGAAAATTCTGGCTCCACCACTGTGTCCAAAAGGAATGACTCCTTTCTATATGTAGAAACTATTCAACTCTAAACCCCTTCTCTTAATGAGATGGTTTATAGCTACACAAGTATCTATTGCTTGTTTAGACCACAAGTTTCAAAAGTCAGTCTTTCTTAAATTTTGTGTCCTGTCAAACACTTCTATGTGGCTGAGGGAGTAACATTTTGTCACAATATTTCATGTACTGTTTACAAGGATATTTCATGTACTTCTGCATCCAAGGGTGTGGCTTGGTGGTCAATGAAGTAGGTTGAGAACCATAAGGTCTCAAGTTCAAATCCCAACCTGAGACAAAAAAATACTAGGTGATTTCTTCCCATATGTCCTAGCCTTGGTGGACAGAGTTACCTGGTACCCGTTGCTGGTGGGAGGTGGTAGATATCCCGCGGAATTAGTCGAGGTGTGGGAAAGCTAGCCCAGATCCTTGTTGGAAGTTACTACTAACCAACTGTAAACTATCTTCTGTCTCGTTGTACAACCTGAATCCTAATGTCATGCATATATCATCTCTAGTTCTCTATCTATGATCAATGCATATGTTCAGTTTTACAAGTAAATAACATATAAGTTGAGGACTTCTCGGTTATCAAAAAAAAAAAAAAGTTGAGGACTTCTTGAGGAATTCCTCGTTAGTGAGTAAACATGATCCTATTCCCATTGTACTTGTGGGTGAACCCAAAGAATCCCACATGATGCCCAAGAACAAAGAAAATATGTTGTTTCGTCGTCTCTTTTTCTGTACTATTATGTCTTTATTTATACATAAATTCCAGATTATGACTTTTCCGGTTGCACTGCCTTTCAGAAAAAATGGTTTTGCTGTATGCAGTCTACTGCTGCTGAATCATGAACTTCTCTTAGCTTCTACATGCTGCACTGGGAAATGATGTTAGTTTGGAACCAGACGCGACAAGTGTACTAGAACACTGGAGCTGTAGTCAAGATGTGACAAGTAATTTTGCTGTTGTATTTCGGAATATTTACTCATAAAATGCTGGCTTTTGCCACCAAAAGATATTTATGATATATATTTGTTTATTTTTTTTTCTTATCTTGACTACATCATTGTTTCTATTATTTTGTATCTTCCCCATTTTCTTGCCAAGGTTAGGGATGGATTTTGTTACTGTTGGTTCTTGATTGACAATACTTGAGCCGAGGATCCTCCGGAGACAACCTCTTTACCTCCATGAGGTAAAGGTATGGTCTGTGTACACCCTACCCTACCCTCCCCAGACCCCACTTATGAGATTTCACCGTGTATACTATTGCTTCTTGATTGACATTTCTTGAAATGGTTGCATAGAATGTTCAAAACTATAAAAACACACTTAAATAGAATAATGACTTGTAAAAAAAACAAAACCACTATTTTCCTTTTTAGGAAGGAATTATGAGTCGAGATAAAAGAAAGATCTCGTTGTTTCTTCAATAACTTTTGATCACTAGTATCAGATGGCCTCTTAATAGGATCCAGCTAATGATTAAGTTTCTGACCATAAAATATGACGTTGGTTATGGTTGATTTGAACTTTTAAATTTCTTGTATGTTTAAGTTGGTAGGCGTTTGAACATCAATTCACATCAGATACACCCGAACTGATTGTATATATTAGTAAGACACTTATCTCTACCTCGCTCATACTCCCCAATCGATGTTCGGATCAAAAAAATTGTCTGGCCAGACATGGACTGACCCCACCCAACCCAATTGAAAGGCTAAGGTTCAAATACTTGGATGAATCCCATGGAATTGAGTGGCCAAGATAACATATGTTAAGTTCAAATATAAATGTCTATTAGGTTATTGTTATTCAACCAATTTTTACAAGTTTTCTATAAGTGAATTTGGGTTACAATATGCCTATCCAAATTTGCTTAAACTTTATATGGATAAATTTGGGTTATGCCCAAACTAGCCTCAATGAACATATGCTAGCTCAACCAACTCACATGGGTTGGACAAATTGTATTTTTATCGACTAAATTTGACAACCATAAATTCAATCTCTAGCATGTGAAGAGCTCAAGTTTTTGGCACGTAAGTCTGATATCCTACGACAACAAGAAAGCATATGCCAAAAAAATGTCCATGGAATCATGCTCAAAAGATTTTAGAGACTTCACTCTTTTCCCCTTTTATGATATTATGCTACTATACCTACAAAAGAAATGATTGGACGTATATCACATAAATTAGAACGTCGAAAAGGCATATATTTGAAGTGTGAAAGAAGGTGCTAAGATTTCGCAACATTGTTCCTTTAGTCTCCTTACACAGAGAATATGCATTGAAATATACTCCAATTAAAGCATACTACCTTTTCCTCTTTGCTATAAAGGAGTTTCATATAATATATTCACCATTTTCCCACATATTTTGGGTATTTAGTAGTCATTTTACAAAAATTAGGCGATTTTTTCAGTTTTTTTAGTGTGTTGTCCATGAATATTTTGATGATATAACTTCTAGATGCTTTTTTTTTTGGCAAAATCTGTACAAAGCCCTCCATAGGGAGTTCTATAACACACGAAAAATAAAAAAATCGCTATTTTCCGTTTTGGGCCTCATTTGAACTGGAAAATACCGATATTTACCCCTCCGAACCAACACACACCATTAAATAGGTTGCCACAAAAAAATTCGATCAAAAAACCGCCAGACACACATATCATGCACCCAAAATTCATGAACTATGGCACATGAATAATGGAAAAATTCCTATTTTCCATTTCGAGCCTCGTTTAAACTTGAAAAAATACCGACGTTTGCTCCTCCTAATTAACACACGCTATTAAATAGGTCGTCATGGACGCCCACAAAAAATCGCTAGGCGCTCATATCCCTCGAAATCCATGGACTATAGCATAAGAAAAATGAAAAAATCGCTATTACCCGTTTCAGGCATCGTTTGAACTTGAAAATACCGAACGTTTGCCCCTTCGAACTAATGCACGCCATTAAATTTGTAGTCACAGACGCCCATATTTTTTTTTTTCTAAAAACACTTTATGAGGACCCCTGCAATGAATTGGGGGAATATTACGTATAGTCACATAATTTTTAAGGCATATTTTCGCATTTACGAGTCAACTTTTAAGAACTAGGTGACTTTCTTGATTTTTTGTGTGTATTAGACTAGAAAAGTCATTTTTTTCTTCTTTTTAAATTAAGATTTAGGTGACTTAGATACTTATGATTATGAAAGAAAAGAGGTGATGTTTGTATGACGAGGAAAGTCATTTATTTTTTTCTTGTTTAAATTATGATTTAGGTGACTTAAATGATAATGACATGTAATCTATCTATCTTGTTGAAATATTCCAGAGAAAAGAGAGATGACATGATACTCTCTAATCTCTATAGCTAGGAAAGTTATTTATCCTCTTTCTTTTAAAATTATGATTACGAAGAGACTTAAATGATAATGACAAATAATTTAGTTATATAATTGTAGAGATAACGGAAAGTGATATGAAACTCTTTATGACTAAGAAAACAATATATGACTTTAAAATACCAAATTAGTTTGATATGATAATAATATACTGATTTACTGTATTGCTAATATTAAATCGAATTTTAAACTACCGAATTAGTTTGATATGATAAGATTATAATAATTTTGGAAATCACAATTTTGTCTTCTTATGTGGATAGCTACTTAGCGGCTTGGTGGTGAAGGCTTCACCTGGTGTGTGGGAGGTCTTGGTTCAAAACTTCAACCCTCTGTGGCTTGAGGATTCCAAAATAATATTGTAAAATATTTAATATATTTTTCATAATTTATTTTGCATATAAAAAAATTGATTTAACTCTCGAAATTCTATCATTACCACATGAAAGGTATGTAAGTAACATAATAAATCACAATAATTAACAACTTAATTTTAAAAAAAATAAAAGCGTATTAAAAAATTAATTGACTTTTTAGATTTTATCTATGCCATATAAATCAAGATAAAAGAAAACATCTATCGGGTCCATCTTAACACGAACTTGGCTGAAACTTAAAGGAACTGACGGAAGGGCATCACCAGGAGTGAAGCCTGCGGCTTAATTTGACTCAACACGGAAAAACTTATTAGGTCCAGATATAATAGGAGCTCTTTCTTGATTTTCTTCCCTGTGAGTTATAGTCTCAATAAGAATGTCATAAAATGTAGTACTCCATAAACTTTGGCTCGTAATTAAGGCCTCATGATATCTCATCAGTACATAATGAGAAATTGACACAAATAGACAACTGTTACATACAATTTTCATACATAATAATGTATATAATACAACAAGTGACCATATCATTTTACTTTTTCAAAGTAAAAGTATGCTATATTTAATAATTACTTATTTTTTTAGATGAGATAATCATATTTTTATTATTTGCTTATATTTTCAACACCATCATGAGACTTTTAAGGATTTTATACAATTATTATGTTGATTTGTTCAACTATATGGAAAATGAAGAAACGTAGGGTAATTTTCCCTTGGCAAGAAAAGATTTATGCATAACATAGTTGTTCTTGCCAAAGGAGAATAACCTGCAATTCTTGCACTCCAATTAATTTTCAATACTTGAAATTTCCTCTCTAGATTCAAAAATAAGTCATTCTTCTCTAGATATCTATCGTAAAATAAGTGGAAAACTTTTATTCGACTTTTTATGTTGATATGTGGAGGTGAAGAAACGCATGGCAAGAAAAAATATTGTGCAAAAAAAACATAGTTTTTCTTGCTTTATAATCTTCAATTGATCTTAAAATTTCCTTGAGATACTTCATATTTGTTCACTACCATTTATATATATAGTGACTTATTCGAATAATTCATTTGGATATGCTGAAGAAAAGAAGGCCATGTATTGTGGCTACTCTTTGTTAAAAGGGCTTCACCTTCTCATGAGAGGCCAAATGGTTTCAATCACTTCATTCAAAAAGTTCTATGCAAATTAATTTTAGTCTAGTTAGCTGAAAATAAGAAACGAAAAAAACTACATATATAATTAAGATACAAGAATATTTTTAATGGTGTGAGATTTTATTTATTTTTTTCAAAAGAAAATCGTGTATCATAGTCCATGGTTCAGTAAGATGATTATGGAAATGACGGCTCAATAATAACGTCAGTAGACCTGGCTTAGTGCCTTTGCCCGTCTATAACCGATTGTCTATCTTTACCGGTAACTTTGAGACGCATACACACGAAAAGCCATAAATACTCAGATGATGTGGGTGTCATATAGTTAATCTCTAGATACACTCATAAGGTAATGGGTCATGTATTAATTGGTTTGTGATGGATGGAGCCGTCAAAATGGGCTTAGCCCATGGGGACGGCCCAACCCAATCTGTTATTGGGGTAGGGTTGGGATATGATTTTTCAAGCCCATTTAAAACTAGGGCTTATAAGCCTAACTCATATAAGTCCTTGGCCCTTGAGGCTTGATCGGGATTGGGTCGGGGTCGGCCCATGGGCCAAAACTATTTATTTAAGGGTAACTTATAGAAATCTTTCTAGTGTATGAGCTAATTACTTAAATGCATGTTATGTTGTAATATTACGAATATTTATCAGATTTTGGACACGTCCAGATACATGTATCTCGAGATACGTGGACTCAAAATTGGGTTAATTTGTTCTAGATACAGTCTATCTCTATGAATTCGTATGTATCTAGGACACAAAAAAAAATCCGTGCCATCGCCTCCCTTCCATCTCACTCGCCACTCTCTTATCTCACTCGCGTATCTGGGATGCATCACACCAGATACATATCTCTAGTATCCTAGATACATGCTAGTCACACTACATTTTTTTTCCTAGCTAGTGTTATTGAAACAACACCATTATTTGCCATTTTTGATTTGAAAGTCTTTTCATCTTCTTGATGTTATAGAATTTTATGTTTGAAAAGAAATTTTAAAAAAAGGACTAGCCCGCCACAGCCCGCGGCCCTTCTAGGATTGGGTTGTGTGTTAGGCATTTTCAGGCCCTTCCAAATGAAGGGCCGGCCTGCGAGGCTTGGGCCGGGTGGGGCTGGTCTGACCCTTTTTGAC